CAATAATCAACTACATTGTATATTGACAAAATAAAAATAATAAAAAAAATAATAAATGAAAAAAATAAAGGGTACACTTTAAGAAAATTGTAGTAGTTACAATATATGTAGAAGAATTTCCCCGGCATGGATTGACCAGTTCTTTTGAGGGGAAATAATTGGGGGAGAAATATGGGAATTTTCCCTTCCAAAGGTTAAGTAGTAGACCATAAACCCCACTCTGGTAGTATTTCCTATTGGCCCTCTCACCTTCCCAGCACCTACATGGGCTTGTGCACATGCGCACAGACACACACACACGTACACCTTGACACACCACCACCACCCCAGTTATGGGAGCATGTTCACATGTAAGAGTACTTCAGAAAGTTCATGTAAAAATAGAGTTGAAAGATGGTATGAATCATCCCATGAACTTTCTGAAGTACCCTCATATTTGAGCATACATGTGTGCTCCATGCTGGACAGAAAGGCTAAATATAGCAAGAGGGATTGTCACATGCAAATGTAAGTAAGTTTTCACATTCCTAGATTTGCAATTTACAATGTAAGAAAATGGGGTCTTACCTATCAGTAGCATTTACTCCTTGGTGGCTATCACTTCCTTTAATCTGTGACTTTATGAGACAATTATGTCCTGACAGGTTACCTCCCTCAGGTTAACAGTCTATTGAGGTGCTGTTTGGACACTAAAGGTAAAAGACACTAGGTTTGTCACCAAGTGATTAACTGAACTCAAGAGAGTTCCCATGTGTCTGAAAGGTGCCATATAATCCAAGCGGGCAGAGACCTTGTGGGTTCACCTGTTTTTCCAGAATTAGCACAAGCTTTGGCAGGTGGTGGGCTCTTAGCAAATGCAGCTTAAGAAATGACTAAATGAATGAGCAGACAAGGCTAGTTACCCACTTTTAATGATGGAGTGAAAAGAACTTGCAAAGATTTGGGGGTGAGTCCAGCCTGATTAGAAATCCAGGTTTTTCTACTCTCAAGGGCAAGGTACTTATTCTTCCTAAGCTTGATTTTCTTCTGTTTTCAGGAATATGGTAAGGATTAAGTGAAGATCAAATCTGTGAAGTAATTAGCATGTATTCAGCAGACATATGTTAAAGATTAAATAAATGAATATCTAACCTTTATCGTTTTCATGATTGAAACCAAGTTTGTAATTGGTTATCCTTAACATAAAATATATAAACTAAGAGAACATTTAATGATTTCTATGAGGTTTTAGATATGGTAATAGCATTTGTAAGATATATGAGGGTACTTCAAAAAGTTCATGGAAATATTAGTATTATTTTTTAATTCTATTTTTCCATGAACTTTTTGAAGTATCCACATATGCTGACTATTCTAGAATGATGATAATTAACAACAATAGCATCTACTGTTTATAGATAACTTACTACATACCTTGTACTGTCCTATGAACTTCTCATAGGTTATTTTATGTCAATTTTACAACTACCCTGTGGGGGAGGTGATATTACATCTTTGCCTTTTGGATAAGAAAACTGAGAGTCAGATGGGTTAGCCTACACAATCATGTGCTTAATAAGTGGCAAATATGAGCTCAAATTCAAGTCTGCCTGACAGCAGGTTCCAAGTTCCCAAGCTTTTCATTGCTTTTCACAAAAGCCATCATTCTACAATATAACTCATACTAATAGTTCAAAAAATGTTCTGAACACAATGAAACCACACACACAACCTTTTAATTTTTATTTATATTTCTTAGTTCAAGAATTACACACTAGCCAACATTATATATTTACATGCTGAAACTGGCTGCAATAAGTTTAAATTCAAGAAAATAATTCTTATGTGCTATTCCTTTATAATCCTCATTTTTTACTATCTCATGTATCCCAGAGATTTTAGTAGTCCTGTTTTTAGAAAGACATGAAAATAGATGCAATGATATCCACTTTGTTTTGCATTTTCTAGCCACTGGAAAATGTGCATTATGTGCATATTAAGAAAGGCTACAAGGTAATTAGTAAGGCTGATAATAACTACACTGTGAAGAAACTAGAATATCACCTTTTATAAAAGGAAAAATCAGAACTGTGCAAGGACAATATTCACAACAAAACTACGAGTATTTAAACACCCATGCAAAGACAAATTTAAAATGTTATGGAATTTAAATTATAGTCAACTTTGTTTGAATTAATTATGTTTTAAATGACGATAGTTGAATTTAAATTATTGAACCAAAAAGGAAACGATACAAGCTGATGAGACCGTCAACTTGCTTCAAATGGTGCAAACACACAAATGGGCATCAGATTAGAAGACATGTTACAGGGGAGTGACATTTGGTTCTGGAACTCAAAGGACATAAAGTTTTGCTTTTCATTATTTTAGATATTTATCTTTATCACAAAAAGCACTTTTAAAAGCAAATTAAAATTCAAAGTCAGAATTTTACATATACCTACAGAAATGTTCTACTTCAATTTCCAAAAAAGAAAAGAAAAACCAAAAACCTAATAAGTATTTGAGTAGTGCTTTTTTTTTCCTAACATGATTTTTTTTTTTTTAGGACAGTACCTTAATTAGCTTTCTGTTGATTCATTATTATTATTATTACCAAAAACCTAATAAGTATTTGAGTAGTGCTTTTTTTTTCCTAACATGATTTTTTTTTTTTTTAGGACAGTACCTTAATTAGCTTTCTGTTGATTCATTATTATTATTATTTTTTTTTACAATGTTCTTAGTGCATTTGGAAAATGTTTTTTAAACCTTTGGTGTAAAGCAGT